ATTACTCGCGTTTCGTTACACGCTCGAAATCGAAACAATTTGCGGAATGAAATTAAAGTTAGCAGTTTGGAAGATCGCGTTCGTTTCGGAGTTTCAAACGCCGTTTACGTCTGTTTACCGACGGACCAACCTGGTTGAAAACTGCTCCGCAAATTCGCTGACCGAAAATAACACACCGAGCCGGTTTTCGCGCGCTCGATCGGATCGGCGGAACTTCTCGTTACCCCCGACGCAACACCTCTCTCAACTCGACTCGACTCGACTCGACTCGATCGCAGCCGCGGTTCGCCAACTTTCGCCAACTTCTGTTTGCAATGCTGTTTCCATCGGTATCACTCAAATTCGCGCATAATTCCCGCGAGTTTCCAACGCGCGTTAGATATCCCCGATAACGTTTCATCCGGCCTGACCAATGAAATGTTTCGCAACTATGCACCGTGCTCCTCTCTCACTCTCTTTCGCTCCCTCGTTCTCTCTCTCTCTATTTAACAGCGAATACTCCACGGTGGAAATACACGCGCGTCTAAAACGCAACGCGTTAAGACGAGTTAGCGCTGTGTTAATAACGCGCTAACACTCGCAATACTACGATCGAAATGCTACGATCTATCGTCGATCCTCGATCCTCCTCCGTTTACCGCTTTACCGAAGCACAAACTTTATGGCTAATGATTCTCCTCCGACGACGAGGAAAATTTCGCGCGAACCGTTCTCTCCTATCCAGATTTCGACGCGTTCGACGCACCGATGACACGGTGAAAACCAAGCCAGCAAAGGCCCGGAAAAAGAAACCACGACGACGAACCATTGGGGTTTGTGCCGTGTAGCTTCGCGACAACGTATATTACTTTACGATCCCTTCCCGTTGTTTCGTTGTGCGAAACGAAATGCAAGCCCCGCGCTATCCCCAGACGCACGGTGCTTATTTCTCTCTCTCTTTCTTTCTTTCTTTCTTTCTTTCTCTCTTTCTTCCTTCTATTTCCACGGTTTTACGGCGCAACGGAAGCCTCTTGCTGCACCGCTGCCAAATGGAAGGATAATTTCGCGAAAACCAGGTCAAACTTTCGACGCTCGAGCACACTGAGGACAGGGGGCAGAGGAAGGAGGGTTGTGCGTTTTCCTTTTCCTTGTTTCATCGCGGGCAACTCCGTTTTCGTCGTCTGTATCGCGCCCAGCGCCCCCTCTCCTCTCTTCGGTTCTCTCTCTTGAACGACTCTCCCATGGCACTTTTTTTTTCCGAACTCGATTCGCGAGGAGAGGATTTGGCTCAGCACGAAGCCCGAGTCTCGACCGAATATCCAGCCCGGCCGTGGGAAATAAAAGGATTATTTTCGATTCGAAATTGCAACTATTCGCCGCGCCGAGAGCTCGAGCCTCGGCATAGTAATTCAAGCGCGCTGTATCGTTCCTCCCGCGATCGTATACGAGGCATGTATATACACGCGGGGCAGAGCGTACTTTCGCGAAACGAGAGGATCGTATCCAAGTTCGAATTTTCAGCAGAGACGAGTCTTTGTTGCCCGTTAAAATGTCCTGGTAATATCCCATTCCCCTTGCGTATAACGTTCGTTCCTCTCCGCTCTGTCGTTCCATCTCCCCCGTACGCGTGTACACGTACGTTTCGCTGCGTACTCTTTTTTTCTTCTCTCTCTCTCTCTCTCTCTCTCTCCCTTTCCCTTTTTCCCTTTTTCACTCGACCTTTCTCTCTTTCTCTCAGCCGTACGTTTGTTTTTTCTCTCATCCTTTTCTTTTTATTTCCGTTTGTAATACCATCGCAAATAACTAGACGCTGCGGCGAATCCGATCGGTCGGATTGAAAACAACAACATTTATGCTTTCGGCGAGACAGACGGCGCGCGCGCGACTCATTATTTTCAAATAAAAGCAAATAATAATCAACTCTTCCGGTTGCTTGGCCACGCGACTCCGGGACTACGTTTCTGTGGAGAATTCGCGGAAAACACGACGGACGTTTTTCGAAGCGGTAACGAGTGGATAATACGTAGGTATCGATACGTATCGTCTGCTCGTTATCGACGCCGAATTTATTTACGTTCCATCCATCCATCTGTCCGTTTCAGCTTGCGTACGTACAAAAGAGAGCTTTGTTAATCAATCCGGCGTGCACGGAGAATTTCTTCGGATCGGGTCCGAGGGGGTGAGGGTGGCTGCGTGGCGAATTAACAAAAAGAAGATCGCCGTATAACGACCGGGCGCACACACGAGAACGGTGAACCGCCGGCGCGGATGCAGCCTGAAAATCTATTTCCCATTTATTTGCCTCTTTCCCCTTTTTCCCTTCCTTTTTTCTTTTTTTTTTTTTTTTTTTTT